ACATTGACTTAAATTTTTAGCATCTTTTTAGTTAAATCAAATTGGGGCTAAGTTAGACTCGTGTAATTAATTGAACGGAACCGTTCCTCCTACTCATTAATTTGACACACTTATTTGACAAATAATCGTGACCTTTAATTTAACTTGAAACTAATCAAATGGAGAACTGGCAAAGGTTACGCCCTTGGAGCCTTCAAGTTGGCTGCTGATAATGTCATTATGATAAGTGCTTCTTTTACTTGCTTGTTTCCAATCTGTTTCGCTTTTTTGCACTTCCATGAACCCTCAGGTTTCGTTGGGAACTTGGGGAGAATGGAGATTTAAGATAGTTCAACAAACAAGACTTTTAGGAATCTATTCGACGTACCAATAATTATTCTCGCCATTTGTTACATCTGTAAAACTTATTCTCGATGACCAACTTTAAAAATTCACATTATAAATGAAAAATTTATTGTCAATGAGGGAAAATTTACCTAAGAAAATAAGTTAATCGTTATGTTAACACAGCAATTTAGTATACATATCTATAGTCTCTCCTACGGTATGACTTTCATCCCAATGGACTCTTTTTTCTTTTTTCATGCCTCTATTTCATATTTCAGCCCAATATTTCTATTGCATAAAGAAAAGAATAGAAGAAAAATAATATTTGTATTAAGTCTTCGAATCTCTTGTGTAGCAGTCCATTTGATTTGATTCATCTTGTGACTATTAAACAGTGTAGTGCTGTTGGATGGTGTCAATGTCTAATCCCTTCAGCTTAACCACAGATTCGACGTGTCCCTTAAGAGTGTGAAGTTCTCTCTGCCTGCATATTTCTTGTTAGAGTACAAAACGGCGTTATTATCATAATTGGTCAGAAAACATATGCAATGCTGAACAATATTAACAAACAAAAGGTTTTGAGCTAAGTAACGATGGTGTGAATACCTCGCAACTTCAGCTCTTCGTTTAGCCTGCTCAGCGATTTCAGACAATTCTCTGTAGTTATTTTTGTCATTGAACAGGGCAGAGCTGTCTGGTGTTTGGAGGCCGTGTAGTGTGCGCTGAGCGACAGCCCATTGTGCTTCTCTCTCACCCCTCCCGTAATCCTTTTTGGTTGTGAAAGCAGTCTAGTTTGTTCAAAAATTGAAAAATATGGATTAATGGTGAATCTTGAATAGAATCTAGTTTGGGAGTGATTGAATTTTTGTGTAATACCTTGTTCTGGATCATAGAATCCCAGGCATGGCCACTTAATGCGAATCGGATGATGAACTTGAGAATGTCAAGTGGGAAGTATGTGACAAGGCTGAAGATCCAAATGACTCCAGCCCACCCCCATCCAATGCCATTAATTCTAGCAAAGCTCCAGTTTGCGTATACAGCAATGATTGTAGCCAACTGAAACCAAGAACTCGATTAACAACAAAAACTTGAAGCGAGTGTTATGGTTTTAGTCAATTGTAAACTGAATTTTGCTTCCAAAACTTACCAATTGGGCTATTAGGAAAGCGCCGAATAGCAAGATTCCAGGGCGTTCGAGGAATGACCAGCTTCGGGACCTAGTCACAAAGATGAGCGCTTGACTGATAATGCTCACTTGAAGGTAGAGAGCAGCTGTAAGCTCATCTGTGTTGCCTCTGATTGATCTCACTTTAAAGGTATTCTGTAATCAATCCATGTATTGGCGCTTAGAATTATTGTTTAAAGTGTGCGCGCATGTGTGTGCATGAAAATATATATGTGTGTGACAAGGTTTGGTATTGGAGGAATGAACTTACAGAGAAGAAATCAGTATCAGACGCAAGGTAAAAGAATACGACAGTCATGACAGCCATGTATGTTCCGAGGACAATGCCAGTGGCAAAGATTTCCTTGAGTTTCCAAGAGTCGGGTACTGGAGATGGTTTCACCCTGTCCTTGGAGATTGTCATGATGGTACCATCGTTAAGGATGGCGATGATCAAGACCATAAAAGGTGAGAAGTCGAACTTCCAGATTAGGGCAATGAGCATAAATCCCATGACGATACGAATTGTGATGGAAACAGCATAGATGGTATAGTTCTTCATCCTCTGGAATATGGCTCTACTTGTCAATACTGCACTAATAATCACACTAAGTCCTGGCTCGGTCAGAACAATGTCTGATGCACCTCTGGCGGCATCAGTTGCGTCTGCCACAGCAATACCAATGTCTGCCTTCTTCAGTGCTGGTGCATCATTCACACCATCTCCTGTCATACCACAAATGTGCTTCCTTTCCTGCAGTTTCTTCACAATCTCGTATTTATGCTCTGCATAGACACAACTTTTGTGTTATTGCGAAAGGTACAACAATTTGAGTTTGATATATATGAAACAGAGTAAAAAATCCAAATGACGTGGGTTTGAAAAATAAGCTACAATATGTTAATTATTATGTCAAGTTGTCCTAGAACATGCACTGAAAGTGAATTTACCAGGGAAGACACCGGCAAAGCCATCAGCCTTCTCAATGAGCTCATCAACGGGAATCGAAGCAATTGACTCGTCCTTGCTTTGGCCTAGAAGGGAAGACGATGGATACATGTTCGTGCCCATGCCAAGCCTACGACCAGTCTCTTTGCCAATTGCAAGCTGGTCACCGGTGATCATCTTGACATTAACACCGAGTTCAAGAGCTTTACGAATAGTCTCTGCGCTGTCATGCCTTGGAGGGTCAAAGAGAGGCAACAAACCAACAAACTCCCAAGGTCCACCAGCACTTTCTTTAGTTTTATCTGGAACAGTCTATAAAAAATACAATATTGCCACTCCTTAGTAATGCATTCTCTTCGATTAGTTCATTTCATCATTTTTTGAAGAATTTCCTACTCAGATTGTTGACTAGCTCACCTGTCGTGCAACGCCAAGAGAACGAAGACCACGGTTGGCAAAATTGTCTATGATATCGTGGGCCTTCTTCCTTGAATCTCCTTTGAGTTCGCATAGATCAATAATCTGTCAAATTACGAAAAAGGTTAGCTATTAGATATTAGACAATTAAACACTATACTCCATACTATTACTACAGCTATAGAATTTTTTGATTATCTTACTTGCTCTGGAGCACCCTTGCTGCTTCTATGCCAGTCTCCATTAGAGTCAATGTAGGTGATTGCAGTTCTCTTTTCAACCGGGTTAAAGGGCAAGAAGTGCACCTCTTTGATTCCAGCTCGTGCCTACAAAGCTCATAAACATATTCAGTATAATCTACAGGTACAAAAGGTGTTTGACAAATTTATTTACTGCAAGTAGTAGAGCTTAATACCTCTTGTGGATCACTCAACATATTAACAATTGAAGCATCAATGGCGTCCTGGTTCTCGACCCTAGAAGCCCGAGCAGATAACAAGACAACGGTGTCCTTATCCATGTTGTCTGGGAAAACTTCTATCATTTCCTTGTCAACCGTGAGCTTATTAAGGGTTAGGGTTCCTGTCTTGTCACTGCAGAGAACATCCATACCAGCCATTTCCTCTATGGCAGTCATTCTCTTTGTAATGGCTCCTTGTTGGGATAACCTGTGGGATCCAATAGCCATTGTCACAGACAAAACTGTTGGCATGGCAATTGGGATACCTCCAATGAGCAGCACAAGTAGATTGTCAATTCCTTCCCTGTATTTCCTTTCCTGGATTGGGTACATTACTAAAATCTCAATCACCATGCCCACAGCAATTGAGCAGATGCAGAAATTCCCAATGGCAGTTAAAACCTGTAGACAATAGAAACATTGAGCAATTAAGTCTCCTTCCTAATAAATTTGTGTCGGCTATATGTAGTCCCCCTCCAGTTAATAGTTATACCTTTTGGAAGTGACCGACGTTGTTAGTGCTGTCGACAAGGTGAGCAGCCTTGCCGAAGAACGTATGAACACCAGTGGCAATGACGACTGCCTCGATCTCGCCTTGCTTGCAGGTGGAACCAGAGTAGACTCCATCACCGGGATTCTTGGTCACAGGGAGAGACTCGCCAGTGAGGGCAGACTGATCAATTTTCATAGGATCGCCCTCTAGAAGACGAGCATCGGCTGGGATAATATCCCCCAACTTGACACTAATCAAATCTCCTGGAACCAGGATTGCAGCATCCTGCTCACCCCATTTTCCGTCTCTCAAAACCTTAGTTTTGGGAGCAAGACCGGCCATAAGGGCAGCAGCAGCATTGCCTGCATTATTTTCTTCAATGAAACTAATAGTTGAGTTGATAATCAGCAGCACTACTATACCAGTAAAGTCTTGCCAATCCGGAGGCTTTCCCTGCATTTTCAATCACTTTTCCATCAGTAAAGGTCGAATTCATTTTTTCATCGAAAGCCCAACATGTACACGAGACGTACCCCTCCGTTAGCCAAAACAATGGCCATAATGGCGGCAGTCTCCATGACCCACGAGAGAGGATTCCACATAAAGCCCAAGAACTTGAGGAGTTTGCACTCCTTTTTCTCTTCAAGCTTGTTGGCCCCAAAAATTTGGAGCCTTTTTGCTCCTTCATCTGATGTCAAACCCTCCCTTGAACATTTTAGCTGTGTGAATACTTCCTCAACGGGGATGTTCTCCTGCAGGGAACCACAGCTTCTATGAACTTTTCAATCACATATTTAATCAACTTTTATCAAAATTTATTAAAAATTTGATTTTTAACTAAACCAAATTGGGGTTTAATTTGATCGAGAAAATACATACTTGAATCTTGCATGAAATTCAACAACTTTTAGATTAAGGCGCAAGTGTATCTAAATCTTATACGATATTTGAGATATCGAGATTTACACGAAAGCATGACAAAATTGAAATCAACTTTTCTTTGATTAAGAAAAGTACAACAAATCTTGTGTGAAATCCAACTATTTGGAATAAGGTGTAACTAAAATCTTATACGATATAATCAAATTTTATAGAAAAAAGATGATACTTTTGAGATCAACTAAATTTGATCAAGAAAATACCTATTAGTAACCATGCATGAATTAGTAACCATGCATGAACTCGAATAAATTATAGAACACGAAACAAATAAATAAAAAAGGCTTTGATGTACATGCTAGAAATCTTGCATGAAAATTCAACAAGAGATATATGGAAAAAGAACGACGATACTGACAAGATCGACTTGCTCATTCTTGATCTCTTCCAAGGATATATCTGAGGCCATGATGGCTTAAAAGAAAAAGAGAAGCAGATTCAATCACAGGATGAAGGAAGAAAAATGGAGAGACATATACTCTCTATCTCTCTCCCTATTCTCTCCTCTGTCAAAAACACAGCTTCTTATACTAATCTTGTACCCTCAATAATGGCGGATTGTCATACATTCTGGCCATAAGAATAGGTACTGTATTGCGGTTTTAGCTTATAAATAGGTTCTTGTCAGATTTAAATTTTTCTATATCCATTCAACAGCTAGATTTAATATTGACCTTAAAATAAAAATATAGAATTTACTCTGAAATTGGATGGACAGATAATGAAATAGCAGATTAAA